GAATCAAGCCTGTTGGGACTTAGGAGCCAAATGGCGAAAAGCAAAGATTCAGTTTGTAATTAGGTGCTAGGGATTCAGATCTTGCTGCCAACTGAGGATAAAAAGGCAAAATCTATGTTTTTGCTTCTAAGTTTCAAAGGTTAAGTCAGTTTGTGATTATGTTTGTGAGCTACTCAAGATCATTATCACCACAGAAAAAGATAACCAGCCCTGAAACAGTTTTGATCAGCAGGAGCCCCCACCATGGGTCCAGGACTGGAAAGGACATCATATCCCTGAGACCAGGGGGGCTTAGAGTGGGAGCTATGAATTGCTAATTGGCTGTTTCCTGAGAAATGTGCCCCCTGTTGGAACCTACACAGGGACTTGTAGCACTCTCAAACGCATTGCTTTTTTAAAAAAGAAACAATGAAAGTAGTAATTCTGTGAAAGATGATTTCAGAACAGATATAAATAGATAGCTGCATTCCTTTGCTGGCACCAAGGAATCCACGCTGTTTGGCATTCAAGTTGAAAGTCAGCTGGCTTGTAATAATAGTTTATACAGTTACTTCTTTAAATTAATAAGATAGACATTATTTTTCTTTGCTGAACCTATTCCAAAGCTGGACAGTCTCCATAAACAGAGAGATAATACCTCTCTAGAAAATATTCACCTCAAGATGTGACACTCTGTCCTGATGTTAGCTGCCATTGTGTCAGTCCCTGACTCATGGTGACCCCATGCCCAACGGAAGGAAATGCTTCCTGGTTCTGTGCCATCCTTGTGATCAGTTGAGGATCAAATTGTTGTGATTCATAGGGTTTCATCGGCTGATTTTTGGGAGAAGATCACCAGGCCTTTCTTCCTAGTCTGTCTTAGTCTGGAAGTCTGCTGAAACATGTTCAGCATCGTAGCAACACACAAATCACCACTGACAGACTGGTGGTGGTTGTGCATGAGGTGGCCAAGAATCAAGCCCAGGTCTCCCGCATAACCCAAAGAATCAAAACCCATTGCTGTTGAGCCAATTCCTACTCATAGCGTCCCTATAGGACAGAGTAGAACTACCCCATAGGGTTTCCAAGGCTGTAATTTTTATGGAAGCAGACTGCCGTATCTTTCTCCCTCAAGCAGCTGGTGGGTTCAAATCACGGACCTTTCGGTTGGCAGCCGAGTGCTTAACCCCTGTGCCACCGGGGCTCCATGGTTTCCCCATACTAAACACCAAACTTGTTGCCATCGAGTCGATTCTGACTCATAGGAGCCCTGGTGCCGCAGGGCTTAAGAGCTATGGCTGCTAACCAAAAGGTCAGCAGTTCCAATCCACCAAGTGCTCCTTGGAAACCCTGTAGGGGGCAGTTTTACTCTGTCCGATAGGGTCTCTGTGAGTCAGTTTCCCCATAGAAGGCAAGAATTCTACCACTGACCCACCAGTGTCCCCTTCTGTCCTTGGGAACAGCAAACTATATACAAGGAAAAAGCACAGTTTCAACAAGAGAGCCAACTATCGTTTCAAATCTTCAGACTAACATTTTCACCTATACTTCTTATTCCAGATCACTACTGCATGAAGGCAAGTATAAGAAATCAAAACAGAAAAAAGTCTCACACGAACGTTCCTCCTAGTGTTCTCTGGAAGAGGAAAATGATCAGTACTGGGTCAGCCCCTGACCCAACTTGGGTCAGTCTCAGTCTATGGGAATTTGGAATTGAGGCTGAGAGAAGGAATGGCTTAACTTGCTAAACATAAAATTAGGAGCTATGAGTTGTTTCCAGCAAATCATTTGTCACGTTTTTTTTTCTCTCTGGGAAAGCCTATCTCAGAGGAAAAAACGAAACAAGCAGACAAGCAGAGAGTAACAAACAAGATGTGCAGAAAGAATCAGGAATCCCAGGGGCATTTGCCTACAGTTTAGTTCTGAGTCCTGGAAAAATCTCGACCCCAAAGTTCATTGAGATACATCTGAATCCTGCTATTACCCTCCTCCTTTTGTAGACTTAAGCTAGCTGGAGTTAAGTTTTCCTGACTAGCAACTTGACTACTGACAGAACCTGGGTCTTCTATGTCTTCTGATCTGAATTTACCCTCTTAAACCAATGTTCTCATGTCCTTCGGAGCCCTGAACTATAAGTGAGGGTATATTCACCCTGACAGCCCTGTCTGAAGGCCTCTATGTCCAAGAGCAGACACAAGCCTATCCATGACCCCGTATATTCTGGGGTATCAGGCCTCCCACATGGGATGTCCTTATATTGGTACCAGTTTCTTTGATTAAAGGCTTCCTGGAAAATGCCACATCCCTGCAAACCTTGAGCAGTGTCCCTACTACAGACGATGCAGAAACTGGGTCCCTGTTCCAGAGTGAGGGTGATGTGAGATGGAAAAGCTGCAGCACAAGGCAAGGGGCCCAGGACAGGTGGTGGGCTGTCAGAGAAAACAAACGCTGATCTAGTCCTTCTCTTTACCACCTAGACTGAGACTTTTATGTGAATTTGTTCTAAAAGATTTAGTTTCTACAAGGAAGAACTAGATGTGATAATTTTGTGAGCCCCTGATCTTTTCAGGGGACTGATCTTTTTGGAGGAGTCTCTGGGTGGTGCAAATGGTTAAGCGCTGGACTATTAACCAAAAGGTTAGAGGCTCTAACCCACCCAGAGGTGCCTTGAAAGAACAGGCTGGTGATTTAATTCCTGAGGGTCACAGCCTTGAAAACCCTATGGTGTCCAGTTCTACTCTACAACCCGTGGGGTTGCTAAGAGTAAGAATCGACTCAACAGCAACTAGTTGGGTGTTTTTTGTTTGTTTGATCTTTTGAGGTTAACTGACATTGAGTATGTATACGATTAGATGGTCACTGAATATTACCTCTTGCTCTTCTGTGTTAATACCTCAGGTCAACTCGGTATTCTTATTGCTCAGACTGTGTATTCCAAAACAGTACTGGGCACATGGTCCTTTGTGACAATTTGTTGTAGTGAGAGGAAAAGTGAATTAAGAGACACAAGGTCAGCCTCCAGCTGGAGGAGTGGAAGTGGTGCTCCAGATGGATTCAGACCAGGGGTCTAGGTTAAGTCTATCACTTACCAGTATTGTGAACCTGAGACAACTGCAATATCTTCACCTGCCAAGGGTTTCTAATTAAACCCTATCAAGTATGACTGTAGGCAAACACATAATGTATATAAATCACTTGCCACAGAGCTTGGGTCTTTTAATGAATGGCAGTTATTACTATCATTGTTTTGAGCCACACGATACCAACCAGCCCTCAAGAGATTTTTTTCTCCAGGAAATATTCGACAATAAGCAACACTCTGACAAAGAAACCCACATCAGCCAGAACGCTACTTAGCTAGTAAAACTATTTCCCATTAGAGCATCTGTTATTTCATTTGGGTGTGGGCTTCTCTTCTCCAGCCAGATGCAACTCAAAGCTCTTGTTTATGTCAAGAATCAACAATGTCTGTCCCTTCCTCCCAGCTGCCTTTTCATCCCAACAACCTCTGTTTTAATTGGTCACCACCTAAAATTTAGCCCTCCCTTACAGTTTGCCAACTTACATTGACGATGTTGTGTTGTTAGTTGCCATCGAGTTGATTCCAACTCAAGGTGACTTGACCTGTGCTGAGTAGAACTGCTCCATAGGGTTTTCACGACTGTGACCTTTAAGAAGCAGCTCACCAGGCCTGTTTTCCAAGGTGCCTCTGGGTGGGTTCTAAGTACCGACCTTCTGGCTAGTAGTCAAGCGATTAACCGTTTGCAACACCTAGAAACTCCTATACTCAAGATCACCTAAGTCAAATGTACTTTCAGTGGAGTGCATTCTGGCTCCAAAAGTGCAAGAAAGTGCTAGAATAGTGGTTTCTTGACATCTCACCTCCACAGAATATCATGCTATTTCCCGGAAACTACCTGGAAACGATGTGCACAACACACCCAGTCAGTGCATGTGTTCAAGTGCACCAGGACAAGAGCACAGGACACCTTCCAGTCCTGCCCCAGGTGGGAATTTCCCTCTGGTTTACCCACAGTCCCAGAGTCACTGTGAATCACTGGTCTCCATTTCAAGCTCAGCCTCTTGAGTCTGAGATACATACATCACAGGAGTGTCTGGCCCTGGGCACCTCTCCCACAACCTCATAAGACCCTCTCACCCACTACCTAACAATCACCTCCCCACTCAGCCCCTACCCTTACCTACCCATATATCCTAATTTAAAATTTCCTCCCACTGAGAAATAGAAGTTTCCCAAGGCCCCAAACTGCCCAGCGTCAGGGCATTTACATCAGAGGGAACCCTGAAGTCCTCACTCCTTTTTTCCTACTCCTTAGGTCTTGGAGACTATTTTAACCTCCTTCTTATTTCATAACTGCTCTTAGACACTAAAATCTATGCACAGCGGCTGCAACACCTTTGCCGAGAGATTCCCCAGTACTAGCATGAAGCCTTCCAAAGAAGAGATGCTCAATTACTGTTTGAGGAAAATAAAAGCCAGGGGACAAGAGGTTAAATCATCACGATTTATTTTCTCCCACATTCTTGAATAAGTTAAACAATCAGGGCACATGTGTGTTTTACTTTCACCAAAAGGAATAAGGGAAACCAAGACTTCACCACCTTTTATATTTTTCCACCTCTATCTTGTGATCCCAACTAATTGTTGTGAACTTTAATATTTCCAAGGATATCACTACTCCATTATCACATTAACTAGTTATGGATGACAAAAAAAGATTCAACGATTTTCAATTTGTTTTACACAATACTCTTACTTTTAAATTTGAAAAACAGCAATAAATATATGAGGGTGAATTTAGATTCTGAATCTAAATGAACCTTCAATTAAATGGAACAACATTTAAACAATACAAAAAAAAGAGCTAAATCTACAAGCTACTCATGTATAACAGAACACAAGACATTCATATGCTCCCTCCAGGCCCACCTCGCCTCCACTGCTTAGAAGGTTAACAGACATTTGCAACAACAAAGTGAAGAATCTGCCTCAGACTTCACTAGGGGTGGGAGGACCTGTTGGATTTCCCCCTGAAACTGGACCTGGCCCTGACATTAGGACCAGCTCCGGCCCATTCTCTGCCTGCACCACTCTCTTCCTCAATTCTCCAAGTTTCTTCATAGGGGGCTTGGAAGGCACTGGAGTTGGTATGCTTGATCTTGGCCAAAAACTCCAGGACTTTTGTCTTGCTGGGTTCAGCTTGGGCCCTGGGACCCCACAGGAATTCGTAGCGTGGAGGATCACTGTTGGGCACCTGCCGGTACTCCAGGTACTCTTCCTGCACCAAATCTTTGGTGATGAGCTTCCTGGGCTCCCCAAAGATGAAGTGCCTCTTCCCATCGTAGATCCCCAGAACATTCAGGAATTCCCACACTTCCTCCTCAGTGGCCTGGTTGCCATTTGTATAGATCATGCCCAGGAGAGGTATCAGGAGCCCGTTTCTGGGAAACCCCCTGCCACCAATCAGATTCTCTTCCTTGGTGATCTCCAGTTTGCTGACAAGGACATAGCATTGACCTTTGGAGTCGACTTCCTTCAGGTCAAGGCCGAAGACCACCTCCAAGTGCTCAGAGGCTCTCCTCAGGATCTCAGGGAAATCCTCCTTGTACTTTCTACTGATGATCCTCATCATTTCTCCCTTCATAATGGGCTGTTTCATTTTGTACTTGTGCAGCAAGAACGGCAGCAACATGACCATCCTCCTGGTTAGAGGGTCTTTCTGTGACCTCTCAGTCGGGGCTGGGGCCTCAGAGGAACTTGAACTTTCCTCATCTTGGCCCTTGGCCCCTCTACCAGCTCTTGTGCCTGAAGCACCTGCAGCAGCAGTGGTGGTGGATGGGCCTATCTGAGGCCCCTGGGGAATGCAAGCAGCAGGGGAGCTTTGGGGAGAACCCCCAAAAGGAGGAGAGGAAGAGGAGGGGGACCCTTCCTCCTCTGCTGCAGTGGCCTGAGCACCCTGGACACCATGGGCATCACCTCGGGCCTGACGACGTTTCTCACGGGCACGGAGCTTACTCTTCTGACCACGAGGCATGATGATTCTGGTCAAGGACAGCAGGCAGGAGTGTGGAAGGAGGGCAGGTGTTGCAGGCCCACTGGAGGAGGGAGGCTGAGAGGGTGTGTGCCCCTGCAGTAGACAGATGCCTCCTTGGCTTTAACAACCACCTCCTCTGCAGGATTCTTTAAGAGCGCTGCTCTAGGATCCCACAAGGCTCCTATTGTCCTGGTCAGGCCCCTGTAGAGAAAATCAGAGGAAGGCTTAGGTTGCAGCCTGCCAGCCCTGCTTGGGGCTTACTGGAGTGACGGGACAGGCTGGCACTAGGGACTCTCTCTACTGGGTTATTGGGGGGTCTTCTACATACTCTTTCAGGGCCATGATATCAATGGCTGGCAGGGGATCGGCCCCTCCCCTCTGCTACTCTGAACTTGACACCTCAAATACCTCTGGGACCTACAGGGAGAAACTGAAGGATCAGCTTAGCCACCACTCCTGGCAGGGTGTCTCAGTTCTGACAGCGCAGTGGGGCCTCTTCTGTCCTGGGTTCCTTGGAGGCCTCAGTCCTTCAGCAGGGTCCTCACCTTGGCTGCCCCATTTGACCAGGTCCTTCACCTCCCTGAGATGCCCTGGGAGGAAGTGAGTGTAACTCACTAAGTCAGCATGCTCAGTTCACCAGGTCTAAAAGCAGGGTGGGGATATGTTTCCCCCTTATTTCTGGGAGGAGTCACCTCATGATAACTCTGTGTCCTCACTTTGACTCCTCTTACAAACCAAGTCTCCTGCCTCTGCTGAATAGGCCTCCCCATATGTCCAAGAACTTCCCATCCCTGAGACCACCCGCCTCCAGGAACAAACAAGGGAGCATCAGCCTGACACCTCTGACCCTGGCTTTCCAGCGGCAATAGCAGAGGGGGTACTTTGTGCAGCCTCCTCTCTTCTGGAGGGAGGGAAAGGGGTGGTTAATTCCTTCTTTCCTCTTAAAGTATTTTTACCTTGACTCCCACCTGGTTCTGGGATTCCTCTCTCTGCTGAATTGGGACTTTAACTAAGTCCCTCATCTCATTGAGACCCTCCAGGCAGGAGTCAAGGGTCACCTGAACTTGCCAGTTTTGTCCTAGGCTCCAAGAGCCAACAGCATCAGCAGGGTTCAGGGTAGCCTCCCCATTTTGGGTTGAGTTGTCCCCAGCACCTCAGTCACGTCTTCACCTTGACTCTGCTCCATTCCTGGGACCCCAATCTCTGCTGACCTAAGGCTACTCCCCTCAAACCAAACATCACACCTTTCTGAAACCTCAGAGTTGGAAGTCACAGTGAGCCACATCCTGTGCAGGCTGTTTCAGGAATACTAGGGCTGGCCAGGGCAGCGGGAGTTTCTTGACCCCACAATTCTCAATTTGTTGACCACTTCGCTCCTCACTCAGGCCTCTGAACTTGCTTCCGGGAAGGACATGGGATTTCCACCCCCCCCCCTTGTAACTTGAGTCGGCCTTATAACAGGGGTGAGATTTATGGCTCAGACTAAGGCCTTTACCTCCCTAGAAGGAAATGAGGGTGCTACACATCTGGATACCCCTACGAGGGAGGGGGCGGCTACCAGAGCTGAGAGCAGGGACAGGCTGTGGGCGGCCCCTCTTTTGCGACGAGGCCACCTCATTATCACTACGGGTCCTTGCTTTGTCTCCAGTTAGCATCTAGGTCTCCTCCCTCTTCAGAACTGGGGCGGTTCCTTGCACCAAGGCCCTTCCTTCCCGAGACTTTATAGGCCGAAGTCGGCCTGGAGGCTTTGAGGCTGCCAGTAGGGGCGGGACTTTGTGAGACCTGCTCTGTTCTGGGTTAGGTGGTCACTCAGTCCACATTCAGGGTCCTCACCTGGACTCCTGACCCGTCCTCGGACTCCAGCCTCCTCGGATGACGAAAGACCGCAGCCCCTCAAACCAGACGCCACGCCTTCCCGGCACTGCCTAGATGGAAGTTTGGACACGTCACATCCGGCCCAGGATACGGGGGGCCTCTGAGGGCCAAGATTGTTGGGGGGCTTCCGAGGGCCAACAGCAGAAGTGGCGCTCTTCGGATCCCACTTTTCTGTGGTTAATTGGTCCCTTCAGTCCACATTCAGAATCCTCACCTTGAAACTTAATCAGTCCTGAGACTCCACCCTCCTCTGCTGATGAGAGATCACAGCCCCCCCACACCAGCAACTGCACCTTCCCAGCATTTCCTAGACGGAAGTCGGGACATGTCCCATCCAGACAAGGCTTTTTGGGGGGGATCTCCAAGAGCCAAGGCTGTTGTTGGGGGCCTCCGAGGGTCGACAGTAGGGGCAGGACTCTTGGGACCCCACTGTTGTGGATTCGGTGGTCCGTCATTGCTCACTGAGGGTCCTCCCTTTGATACCTATCAGTGCCTGGGATTCTGGCCTATACCGACCTGAGTCACAGGTTCATAAAAGGTCCTCACTACGCGGAGACGCTAGAGGCGGTTATCAGGGCCTGCCTCATGCTATACCTGGCTGGTGCCTCACAGGAGTGCCTGCTGGGTCACTGCTCCTGGCAGATCCTTTTTAAGTGGTAGGTCGTGCCATTAGCACTCAGGTTCCGCACCTTACTCCAGTTAGGGACAAGACTCCTCCCTCTGCAGAACTGGGGCCGCCTCTTAGACCAAGTCCCTCCCTCCCAGACACCATTTAGGAAAATGAGAGGGGCACCTCAGGCTGACAGCTCTCCCAGAGGTTCCCAGTACCAAGGACAGAGGCAGTGCTCTCGTCTCTCTCTGTTGATGGGTTTCCCACTAATAACACTTAGGGTCCTCACCTTGACTCCTTTGAGGGCCTGAGTCTTCTCCCTCTATAGACCTGGGGCATGACCACAAGACCTGCTACCCTCCAGGCAGAAATGAGGGGACTCTTCATCCTGATAGCTCTGCCCTGGGCCTCCAAGGGCCAACAGCAAGGGGGATTTTGTGTGACCTCCTATGTCTGGGGTGGGTGGTTCCCTCATTCCTCATTCAGGGTCTTCATCTTGAACCTGACCTGTCGTGGGAATCCACTCCCTGCTGGATCTGAGGCTGATCTCCTCAGACACAAGGTCTTCACTGACCTGGAACCTCTGATTTGGAAGTCAGGATGAGTCAGATTGAGCCTGGACTGTTTGAGATCTCTCAGGGCAAACTGCAGGGCCAGGACTCTAAGGGATCTCACTCTTCTTGAGGTGTTTGTCCATCATCTTCATTCAGGGTCATCACTTTGATATCTGTCTGAGGCTGAGAGTTCTCACTCTTCTGACTTGGAGGGTGTCCTTAGGCCAAAGTCTCAAGTCTCTGAGAAGATAAGCGAGGAGGGGATACTAAAACTGACAGCCCTGGCTGGGGCATTCTCGGCTTGGGGAACCGGCACAAAAAAAAATGTTGCTACTCTGGCTACTACTATTATTGTGTTGAGTACTAAAGTCCTTTGTCTCTGACCCTGGCATCTCATTTCTTCTGCCAGCATCCATAAAACTATGGGAAGCTAAGTTTTTAGCTTGCAAGTAGAGTAAAATCGAGACCCTTCACAGCTCTTGACAGTTTATTAAAAAAATATTCTGAGTTTCAAATATAATACTTTAAGTATTGGTAGATAAACTTGTGGCCGTCAAGTTGATTCCAACTCATAGCGACCCTATAGGACAGAGTAGAACTGCCCCATAGGGTTTCCAAGGAGCTCTTGGTGGATTAGAACTGCTGACCTTTCGGTTAGCAGTTGTAGCTCTTAACCACTGTGTCACCAGGGCTCCATTGGTAGCTATAACCAACATAAATAAAAGCTTTCATTCATACTACAATTTACTTATCCAACATTTTGGATTGTTTCTCATTTGGACAATTATGAATAAAGCTGCTACAAACATTCTAGTACCTGTGTTTTGATGTACTGAGGGTTTTATGCTATTATAAGTGGTATTTTTTAACATTTCATTTTCTGCTTTTTGCTGGTATATAAAAAGTGATTATAGAATATATGATTTTATTCCATATCACAAAGGGAACGCTTTCAACATTTTGCCATTAAGTATAATGCTTCCTATAGTTTGTGGTTTTTTTGCTTTTGTAGAAAATATTCATGAGATTAGAAAGTTACCTCCAATTCTGTTTTATAAGAGTTTTTTGTTACTGTTTTTTTAAAGTTATATTTCAACGTATTATTTTAATAGATGTTTTTCTGAAATCTATTGAGATGATCATATGATTTTTATCCTTTATTTTATTAGTGTGCAAAATGTCACTGGTCGCTTTTCATATGTTAAATCAGCCTTGTATCCCTGTACAACCTACTTGGCCATCATGTATTATTATATTTTACATGTTGCTGGATTTTTTATGCTAATTTTTGTTTAGGATTTTTGTGTCTTTGTTTATGAGTTTGGCCTGTAATTTTCCTTTATCATAAGATCCTCATTAAGTATTTCAACTCAAAGTTCACATTAGAGTCATAAAACAAGCTGAGACATTTTTCCTCATTTTTTGTTCTCTCGAAGGATTTATATAAAACTAATATCATATGTTCTTTAAAATGTTTAGAAAAATTCACTAGTGATGTAATCTGGGCTGAGATTCTTCTTTGTGGGAAAAGTTTAATAATGAATTTAACTTATTTAATAAAATAGAGCTGTTCCAAATTTCTATTTTTGTTGTTTCAATTTTGGTTATTGAGATTTTTTTTTAAAGAAACTAGCCATTTCATCTATTTTAAAAAAAAAATTAGTTTAAATTATATCTTCTTATGCTCTTTTAAATGTCTGTGAATCTGTAAAGACTTCTTTTTTTTGTTCCTGATGTATGTGTGATTATAAAAATGTGCTTATATATGTTTGTGTATAATTCAGTTTTGCTTTTTGTCTTTATTAGTCTTGCCAAAGGATTATCAGTTTTGTTAGTCTTTTCAAAAGGATATCTTTTGGCTTTGGTGATCATCTTTATTATTTTCTAGTTATTAATTTCTGCTCTTATATTTATCATTTCCTATTTTTCTACTGTATTTGTGCTCGATATGCTGTTCTTTT